CCGTTCAAAAGTTTATTATAAAAGTATATTATGTTCAAACGAAAATGATGTTTTTCAAAAGTTTTCTCGTTTAGAATCGATCAAAGCGAAGATTACGAACTATCGTATTACATTAATAATTTATATAACAACACGGAAATTACAATTCTTGAAATAAAAAAAGTATTTCCATGGAATTAACTTAAATTCAAATACAAATACGCCTAAGAACAATTTAAAATAATATCGTTTAACTAGTAAGGCCCAATAATTGTTGTTCGGCACATAAATCAAACGTTGCGCATTGTATTTTTATTCATAGGTCCAAAAGTGTTTTTCATTTGGGGGTGCTGATAACTTTTTTTTTGATCCTATACACTTTTTTCCTTTTTATAACATTTTTCAAATGTATTACGTAGTTATAGCAATTCTATGTTTCTAATGTTACTAATTATTAATTATAAATCAACTCTTTATATCAGTGAAGTGTCGATCGGTTTTGCCATTTTTCCTTATAAGTTATAAAGAATTTTCTTACAAATAAAATTCAACTGCAAACGTTGTGGAAAAAGTCATAACTTAAACGAGGTTTACAGTTTGAATTGGCGAAATCGGACGTAAAGCAAAACAAACTTTTAACAACGTTTACGATTTTCCGTTTTTTTACTCTTGGCACCAACGAGGAATGCGTCATAACTCCTAAGATTGGATCGAATGCATTATTAATCACAAATAAATTCAAATAGTGTGTGACATATGTGTTATTATTTTATGTTATGTATTTTTTTTATGACCTATAAAAATTGAGTAAACAATAAAAAGGTCAGTAGGTACTGTTTAATGAGTGATAAAAGTTAGGCATTACTGTACACTATATTGCATTGACGTAATATATTTTTCAGTGATGTCATCGTCAGTTATACACATAAATCGTAACTATCATCTGATTATATTCAATATTCGACACTTCTTTTCGTTTCCTGATCGTGTATACATCTCTTCATAACTCACTTTATCGCATATTAACTGGCGCTCAATTGTTTACAAAATTAAAGTTATAACTTATAAAATAATATAATATATTCTTTTCAACCAGTCTTCAAATATGAACACCTGGTTATACCTAATGTTGATATATTCAATATCAATAACATGTAAGTGACATCTTTTGATTACAAAAATTATATTCTACACAGATTATTGATTAATTTTAAACGGATATCTAATAGAAAGGTGATATTTTAACATAATAATAAAAGGAATTTTTGTGGAAACGTCTGTAGCGTCCAAACCATACTAAGTGTGCAGAAGTTAAAATAAAGTTAAGTTTTAAATGATTCAAGAGGTACTAACTATTGTAAAATTTAAAGTTAACTGCTTTAAATATGTTTGGTTTTTACGAAGATAACCAAATAACTACCTATACGTTATTTTATTAAATTATTTAAACTAATCTTAAATAAAATACATGTATTTTCAGTGTAGTATGAATAATAAGTGATGTGACATAAATCTGAACAATCTGATAGTCTAAAATATCCAGTTTTCGGACTCGCGAATTTAAGAATTTCGTGTTGCCAATTGAAAATAAATAGTAATGAGTATTTTTTGAGTTATATGAAAAATATCTAGAAGAATCCAAAATAAATTTTATTAAATCCAACATACCGACTATAAATAAACCATCAAATTCCGGATTATGAGATTCTAGATTATCGAACCGTATCAAATCCAAATTTTTCGATCTAAAAAAATAGTACAGGAACTCTCTTTTATACCTCCCATCGTATTATACCCCATGTGGTTGAAATTATCAAAATAAACAGATCAATAAAATTGTAAAAAAAGTGTAACTATGCAATTATGTTGAATTTGTATCTTGAATTTTAATTATATTACTCCTAAACATTGTGTATTATAAATATATTATTCAAAATTGTATTTATGATTTCGATACTGAACCCAGCGAGATAATAGTAGTAAATTAGTGTAACTATGATATATTTCATCTTTTATCCGTACAGACTTTTCTTTAGCTCATCAGAAATTACCTCATGTGGTAACTATATGTTGGTAGTTAAAGCTCTAATCATGAAACTATTATAATTATATTATATTTTAAAATATTAACCATCGTTTAATCAAATAATCGGTAGTATTTGTTTTGTTGGAAAATTTAAGATTTAGATACTATCGATAAATTCGATTATATTGATAACACGGCTATTACAAGAACATTTTTATTTTGTCGATTACCATTATCTCGCCATCGTTTTACTGTTAATACTATTTTAAATATCAACATTATACTATACAAACATTACTGTGTCAGCTATCCTTTATGAGTCGAATTCTTGGAATTTTTATATCTATAAACCTTTTAGGTACAATGTGGAACCAATTTTGGAAAAGTTCCCGTAAAATCGGTCCAGTGATTACTCAATCTATAAAGGACATACAGACAGACAGATATTCAATTGTATTAAATTTCATTATGGCAATATTATTCTAACGAAATATCTAAATTTCTCTTTAGAAATGTATTTGCCCTGCTATCTCCGTTATTAAACACTAAATTAAGATTTTGATACCGTGTTAATTCATCCTTAATAATGATNCAATTGTTATATTAGGATCAAAAAATGCCAATGCTGCTGTTTCAGGTGCTAAATACCACAAATGTCCACATAGTTTTCTTAAAGTTGATTGAGAAATGTTTTTATGTATTTTTTCATAACTGATGAGACTTTTCAAAAATTGTAAGTCTTGAAATGGAGCTAAAGCGGCAATAGGTGCACAAAACCAAGCTTTAATATATAATCGTATAAGAAATATACAAATTGTACGGATTGATTCTTCTTCATAATTTTTTAATTTAAATTGTTTACGGAACATAAATATTTTTAATGAATATATGGCCTTGGACATCCAACGAGCATGATGCATTGCACCAGGACATTGAAAAGATATGCCACGAGTAGGGGTAACACCAAGAAATATCACAGCTAATTCCATCAATTCTCTGTAATCGTCTCTGTTATAAGATTTGCGTTGTTGTACATTATATAGTTACATCATAAAATATTTCACTGACAATTATATCTTCTATTCCGGTGTTATAATTATTAACATTAAGTTTTGGCCAAAATTGTTGGAAACGTTTAAAAATTTGAATATCTGGACCAGATGTAACTCCAAAATTTACTTCAAATGCAGATCTAAGTATAATTTCGTAAATGTGATGCTTGCAAGGAAAGTATAAAATATCACGTTCCAATAGCTGTTCCAAAATTATACATGCTCCTTTTAGACGACCTGTATTCGAAGCCGTTGTATCGCAACATAAAGCTTATATATTATCGATAAGGCCCCATTCTTCAAGTGCTTTAAACACTGCTTCCGCTTGATTTTTCCAAGTTCCGGATATAAGCTTAGGAACACTTAACAACTTTTCAGAATTTTTAAAAGAAACGTTTACTGGTAAACGATCAACATGCTCTTTTCCTGTTAAATCTGGGAGCAGCTTCCCATCCCAATGATCAACAACTGGAGAATTCTGAAGAATTGAATTCATTTCGAAGTTGAAAAGCTCTATCCTTAAGTAAACGCTGGAGTATTTGATTAATAGATGTCCGGTTTAAAATTAAATCACTTATACGTATACCTAACGCATCTACAGTAGCTGTTAAAGTGTAGTCTATTTTTAGAACTGTTTCGAATTATTAAAATATTAAAATATAATAAAATAAAATAATTTCATTAAAGTGCGATTATTTTTGATGGTAAATAAAACCAGTTTTCCAAAATAAATTATAAAAATATAACAATATTTTAGATATTTTGTAATATTGTAACGCTTTTTAAAAACTTGCATGTTTCATAATCAGTTATATTAATAAATATTACCTTAATCAAAAAACTATATAGAACAAAAGTTATAGATAATTTAATTTACTATAAATAATGTCCGAAATTTATTTTTGTAAGAAATGATAACAACGAGATAGCAGTCAATCAATTAAACAAAACTGTGGTTACTTGAACAGAACCATATATTTGAACTTTGAGGGCTGAAGGACACGGGTTAAACTTAATATATCGATATGAGATTTTGAATACTTCATTTATATACATATTTAAACCTCTTTAGGGGGTGAGACTGAAAAAAATGTTATAAAAAAAAGGCACCTATATGACGAAGGGCCACCCTAATAAATATATTATGAAAAATTTTGTTTATGATTTCGATACTGAACCCAGCGAGATAATAGTAGAAAATTAGTGTAACTATGATAAATTTCATCTGTTATCCGTACAGACTTTTCTTTAGCTCATCACAAATTACCTCATGTGGTGACAATATGTTGGTAGTTAAAGCTTTAATTTTGAAAATATTATAATTACATAATATTTTAAAATATTGAACATCTTTTAATTAAATAATCCGTATTTGTACTGTCGGTAAATTTAGTACTTAGATACTATCGATATATTCGATTATATTGATTACACGGCTTTTATAAGAACATTTTTCTTTTGTCGATTACCATTATCTCACCATCGTTTTACTGTTAATACTATTTTAAATATCAACATTATACTATAACAATATCCTTGTGTCAGCTATCCTTTATGAGTCGAATTTCGGGAATTTTAAAAGCTATAAACGTTCTCAGTACAATGCGGAACCAATAATGGAATAGTTCCTTTAAAATCGGTCCAGTGATTTTTCAATCTATAAAGAACATACAGACAGACAGATATTTACTATTATTAAATTTCATTATCGCAGTATTATTCTAACGAAATATTTAAATTTCTCACTAGAAAGGAATTAGCCATCCCTTCTCCGTTATTAAACACTAAATTGAGATTTTGATATCGTGTTAATTCATCGATTATAATGATACATCAATTTTTTTTAAAATTAAATGACTATGGAGTATTACGAATAACTATATAATATATATATTAAATATAATAACTATAATATATAATAAAAATGTTATTGATTCAATCATTCCAGATACAAATCTTCAAGGCATTGAAATAACACCACTCTCTCTTTCTACAGAATATGAGCTACCATCTGAATTTTATAGCGCAGAGGAAACAGACTTAAATGATGATAAAACAAATGGACAAAAACATTTTTTTGAAAATACAAAATCAATATTGCAGAGTTTACCTGACATAGCTAATGAAATAGCCGTTGCCATCGTCTCAGACATAGACAAAAACGTTACTCCAAATCTACCTAAAGACTCACCCATAACCTGGGGAGTATTAAATAATCTTATTACCAATCTGAAAAAAGTAAACGCTTTTCTTTAGTTATACAATCAATAATATTGTAAATAATTTAACAATTTAACAATTTATTACACAGCAAATACCGAACGTGAATGGTAATATTTTAGTTAGTACATTAAAATTATTATAAGTCTTTATAACTTTCAATTTTATAATGTTTATTGTATATTTTACTGATAAATATTCAATAAGAACACACTTGATTATGACAGGGAAAACCGTGTACTAATCGAACACTCATGGTATTTAATTAAATATATTATGCAAACTGTTTACAATTAATGGGATTGAGTGGCCAAACATAATATGAAAATGGAAATAATGAAGGTTACGGTACACTGACTCTGTGTTTACCACGGAATAAGATAGTTAAATGTAACACGGTCTGGTACTGCTGTGTTAAGAGACGATGGCATAAATATCGAAGTATNAAGATAAATCAATCTATAATAAAGTATAAACTATACCTAAAAACAATTGACACATAATTACATCCAGTAGCCATTAGACAACCAGTAGGTTCCAATATAATATAGTTTATTTTTCTTTATTATATATTGTTACTTATTTTTAATACTCTACAAAACCTGATTAAAATAATTTTTAATATAATTATCGTTTTAATTAGAATTTTAGGTAATCCATTAACATACAAGATACTTTAAAATTGTGTACTTATTTATTTCACCCTTTTTTTGGGGAGAAAACTGTAATGGTTGGATTTTCAAATAGCTTCCTATAGTATACATTCCATAAATAGATGGAGTATTAGTCAAAGTAAATTTTTCTACCGACATTTTTGATTTTCATCGATTTGTTCACGAGATATCTCACTTTTTATATTCGGTTGGAGGAGAGTAGTGGAGGTTATTAATTTGGCGGTAAGGTGAGCGGCGATTCGATAATGCAATCCTGTATCCATAGGCGTGCACAGACATTAAGTTCGGATCGTGCCCGAGAAAATTTAATTTATAAGGTGAATCCCTCTCCCCCCAATTAACTATGAAAACCTTTAATAGCTAAATAATACAATAAATAATTATTTCTATACACTGTTTCTATATGAATTTTTATAATTATATCAATTACCTCTTTAAATATCATGCAATTCAAAAAAGTATACTAAAAGTTTCTTTGTAATCTTCAATTCATAATCAATATCTATTTATATATATTTATATACTAACTTCGATAATACCTTTCAAGCGGGTACATTAAAGCAAATTGACCTATTACACAAATTAAAGGTAAGAAGATTATTAAATGGCCCACCGTTATGTTTATTCAAAAATGAATTTTTATGTAAGATATAATAAATATTTTTGGTTTATAATATTCAACATACTCATATTTCATAATTTAACATAAATATCGAAAAATCATCTACACTGGAGTACATAGATTACTCTTACCTAATCGCATTATTATTGTATAAATTACGTACAATATTGTACATATTATAATGATCACAGATATAATATACCTATTACATATGCATAATTTTTCAATACAAAAAACCGCTATTCCAGGTATCTTTAAGAAGTTTTAGTTTTAAATTTAGGTTAGGTGGGAGTAGTGTAGCATTATTTGATTAGTGATACGGCGCCCGGCATTTTACGGGTGATAATCATAATATGGTAATATGATTATAATCAAAATATAACGTCCACCTTTCGGTAAAATTTCGATAAATAATTGATAGTCAAACAATCGAACGGACATCAAACAAAACTAAAAAAATTCCTTGCATTAGTCAGAACCTAATTGTTAAGCCTTATGTGGTCATTTTAATTCAAATTCGCAGAAAATCGAGGAATTTATATCGGTTTTACTATATGATTTGTTTTTGTCTATGAATAACTATTCTACAAAAAATCTTGTACCAAAAAACAAGTGTATAATGTGCACAAGAAAGTGTTTGATTTTCGGTGTAATTTTTATAATTATTTGGTTAAAATCGAAAAAAATGAAGAAAAACGGGAAAATTTACAGAAATCATAAACCTAATCAGTTTTAACAGAATACAGATATTGCCCTTTTCTATACACGGTAAAAAGTTCTGAACATTATAATGATTTCTGAGTTATACATAGGTATTTGGCATTTTCGATTTTTTTTTTTTTTTGTTTTGTTTTAATGTGCTAATTATTTTGAATAAATAATATTATGTTTGTAGGGTTTTAAGCGTTTTAAAATAAAATGTTTGCGGAAAATGTAAAAAGGATGTATTTGAAAAAACGTATTACCGAACTTTGCTCAGTTTAATTTTTTTTTACGATATGGTTCTCTTTCAATATACCTGACCATTCCTTAGCATCTGTGAAGACTCTTTGTGTTACTTTAAAACGTTTATTGCAACTTATTCGATAATTTAAACTGCAAAATTATTGGTTTGTTAAATTCAAAAATTAGTACTTGACATTTTTTTTACTTTTCCTTTATACATAAAGTGTTTCAGTACAATTTATTGTAAAATCATTTTCCTAATGGTAATTTTTGTATTTTAACTATCTATATATGAAGCTATTTAACATAACTATTTATATTTTTTAACAATTAGTAAGTTGTTCATTCAAGCGTAGTGTGGCATTTTATACAATCAATGTTAAGTTTAACAGTATATTTTTTGGGACAAAAATTTATATAATGTTGGCCGATCGTGAAAGAAGATTGGATGAGCCTGACATTGACGAGGATAAATCAGACGATGAACAGTATGTGTATAGAATATGTAACTTATATAATAATATGCTTACATTACAATGTATGAAATATAAATGAAATGTTAAATTCTGTCCATAGCGAGGAAGATATTCATTTTACATTGTCGTTTATTTCATTTTATATTCCGAGCATAGCAATTGATGCATTGGTTTTACTAATATCAAAATCTTTGACAGCTAATTTTTATTTTAAAAAAAAACCTTCTGTATCCTACCTTGTCAATTTATTTACAGGAATCTTTTACCTAATCAGAAAAGTTTATTTAAAGTTTATATAAATAATTTATATATTTAGTTAAAAATGCCCTATTTCAGTTAAAACAAAATCGTGCTCTATAACTCTTAATTAAGCGAGT